TGGGGGGTGGGGTGGGGATGAGGGGTTTGGGTGCAGGGGGGTGAGCGCTGTGGGGGTGGGACGGGGGCTGCGGATGAGGGGTGGGGGGGCTCAGGGCTGAGGCAGAGGGGTGGGGGGTGGGCTCTACGGTGGGGCAGGGCTGGGGCAGAAGGTTTGGGGTGCAGGGGGGATGAGGGCTCTGGGGTGGGACCAGGGATGAGGAGTTTGGGGTGCAGGCAGGCTGCCTCGGGGCTGGGGACAGAGGACTCCCCCAAGCCCTCTCCCTGCCGTCAGCAGCTAGAGCACAGAGCTCCAGGGGAAGGGGGCCTTTCTCTTAGAGGGAACTTAGGGAGCCGCACTTAGGGTTGATGGGAGCTGCCACTGGCTCCCGAGCCTTGCAATGCAGAACACTGACCTAGGGGCCTGCAGAGCAGCAGGAGTGACAGTGTCCCCATACACACACGCCCCCTCTATCCCCCCCTGGCTGCTCCACGCCCCTGTTCCCATGTACCTCTGGGAGAGAAGGGAGTTCACATCGTTAGATTCCAGGCTGGGATGAGCCTCATCAAATTCCCTGCTCTTCACACTAACCCTCCCACTGTCTTTCATCAGCCTGGCCGGAGGTGTCTCAGATCCAGGTGTTACCGCAGTGGGAGCCCCAGGACATGGTGCCGTTTGCCGTCCAGATCCAGAACTTTTACCCCGAGGGGATTCACTGGATCCAGTGGCGCTGGGACGGGGCAGAGAGCTGGAGAGACGAGAGCCCAGAAATCAGCAAGAACCCGGATCTCACGTTCAGCGCTACCAGCGTCTGCAGAATCCCCAGCCAGAAATTTAACAATCCAGAGCTCAGAGTCCGAGTGTTGGTTCAGCAGACCCGGCGAGACCCACCAGTCTGGAGAGAGATCAGAGCCAGGGACACAGGTGAGGGGGGCTCCCTGGGTCAGATGGGGAATAAGCAGGAGTCACTGCTCCCCGCATGGTCCCTGAGGGATGAACGGTCTCTGGGGCTGATGCTCCCACCAGGTCTGGGTAGAAACACCTGCTGTGGGGCTGAGCCAACCAGCCGTGCCCTAAAATTCCATCCACACAAAAGGAAGGTGAATGGAGGAGGCAGCACAGAAGGGGCAGGGGAACCAGCAGGGAAAGGGTTAAGGGATAAATGAGGGGCTAAAAACCTGGGGTCAGAGCAAGAAGGCGTTTTCTACCCAGACCTGGTGGGAACATCAGCTCCCAGAGCCTCACTGACCCTGTGGGGGGCAGCGATTCCTGGTAACGAAGTGAACAGGGACCATCGACACCTTCACTTCTCCAGACAGCAGAGTCCGGGGAGGGCTGAGGGGACAGGGGCACAGCCAGGGGCTGTGGGGGTCTCTCTACAGACTGAGCCCCCTGCAGCAGGGCCCATCCCCAGGGGAGGTTTCACCCTCCTGCTCTCAGGGATCCACCGTTCCCAGTCCTGAGCTCCGGCCGGAGGCGTCTCCCAGACCCCCGCACACTGACCCTGTATGTCGCTCTGAGCCCAGGCAAAAAATTGTGCTACCGAATCTCAGATGTACGAGGATTGGAAGGGTGTCTCCTGGGACAGGAGGTGACCCTGAGCTGCACCATGGAGGGGACGTTCCCCGAGGACACGGCTGTGACGTGGGAGCGGATACACGGACAGGACACGACGGCGATCGGGACTGACGCAGTCATCGAGGCCGGAGAGGCACCTGAGAACCATCCACTGTTACACCCCCAGCCCCAGCTCTGGAGAGCGACACAATTACAGTCAGAAAACGTCCTCGTCTCTTTTCTGAGCTTCACCCCACGGTGCAGGACGAGGGGGCCCGCGTCAGGTGCAGCTTCCACCACGAGGCCAGAGGGATCCGAGAGCAGCGAGTCTCTGACATCATCAGGGTTTTGGGTAGAACAAGGCCTGTGTAGCCAATTAGTTCCTTTGATCATTCATTTATTGTGTGATGTTATGATTAACTAACATGGCATGCAGAGGTGAAAGTAAGCCGGTCCGGTCCGGCGTACCAGCAAGAGCCAGTACACCGTGCCGGACTACACCGGCTTCCGCGTGGGGGATTTAAAGTACTCAGGGCTCCGCGGTGGCTAGGTGACCTACAAGATCTTTATCAAGCATTCGTAAAACTACAATACCCACCTGGGGAAGTGAGGAAACAGATTGACAGAGCAAGACGGA